GTTAGCCGATTTCATCCAACTATATGGGTTACGCATGAAAAATGATATAAAAAATCAGGATGGTAAAACCCTAGACATTGTCATTACAAACGTTGATCTAGAAGTTCATCAGGAAACCCAGCCTCTATCAAAAGTTGATTCTAAATATCATCCTCCCCTCTCTATAAAGTTGACTGAAGAGCTATATGAAAATGAACCTCCTCCTTTTAATCTCACGGGACAATACAATTTCCATAAAGCTGATTTCAGTAAACTTTATAAAAAAATTAGAGAAATTAAATGGGATAATATGAGAAATTTAAGCGATGTGAATGAAGGAGTAGCGTACTTTTATGGGAAAATATATGAAACACTTGATATATGCGTCCCCAAATTCAGGCAGATGCGGCGCAGGCCAGCAAAGTTTCCTCCCTGGTTCACACCCGAATTGAAGACTAAAATCAAACACAAAAAAATCTTACATAAAAGGAAAAATGATTCTGAATATTATATGAATAAGTTCCAAGAACTGAGAAAAGAGATTAAAAGAGAAACTGAACTGGCTCAATCCAATTATGTCAAAGATTTCGAAAAAAGTATACAGCAAAATACTAATAATTTTTGGAATTACATAAAGAGTAGGAGAAAAACAAAAACAAAAGATATTATCATCGAAAATAATGGTACCACATACAAAAGCAATGAAGATATAGCCCATGGATTCTCTCGCTTTTTTCAGTCTGTGTTTGGCGAGTCTTCAACTTATGAAATAAACGGTTCAACTGAGATGAACGGCCATAACACCATATTCCCTCAAATATATTTTGATATAGACCAAATTTCTCTTAAAGATATATCTGACTCAATCAGAAAACTGAAACCAAAAAAATGTGCTGGTCCCGATATGATTCCGCCGTACATAGTGAAAGGATGTTCTGAGATTCTTCTGAATCCTCTTCATATTTTGTTCAATTTATCAATAAAAACAAATACATTTCCAGATCTGTGGAAACAATCGATAGTATCTCCCATTCACAAAGGGGGAGACACCAGTAATTTCTCTAATTATAGACCCATATCAGTTTTGTCTTCGTTTGCTAAAATATTTGAACAAATTTTGCACAAAAAAATATTTGAACACATGAGGGGTATCGTTTGTGAAAATCAACACGGTTTTATTCCAAAAAAATCGATACTAACAAATTTGATGATCTTCACAGACGATATTTCTCAAGCACTTGATGTAGGTGGCCAGGTCGACGTTGTGTACACAGACTTTGCCAAGGCATTTGACAGGGTGAACCATGATATTCTGATTGAAAAACTTAACACATTAAGTTTCTCTCATACATCTCTAAAGTTCTTAACTTCATACCTAGCTGAACGCAAACAAATAGTCAAATATCACGGTGCACTGTCTGAACCCTACTCGGCGCTTTCAGGAATTCCGCAGGGAAGTAATTTGGGACCACTTTTCTTTGTAATCTTTGTGAATGATTTACCTGCGGTACTACATGAATCCACAGCATTACTTTATGCTGATGACTTGAAATTTTATAAAAATATATCATCGCAAGTAGATATTGACAAACTTCAACTAGACATCGATCGTATTTATGAATGGAGTATTTCGAATAAGCTGTTCTTGAATATTTCTAAATGCTTCACAATGACTTACACGAATAAAATGGTACCAATAACAAATCGGTATACAATGAATCATACTGAACTGCCACAGAAAGATTCACATTCCGATCTTGGAGTAATTTTTAATTCTACCCTAAATTTTGGAGAGCATATCGACCGAATGGTGAAATCAGCTTATAAAACACTGGGTTTCCTGATGAGAGTAAGTACCGAATTCACACATCATACGAGGAAAATTCTTTTTTGCAGTCTTATTAGATCGAAATTGGAGTTCGCCTCATTAGTTTGGGACCCTGGGACGCTTGTACATTCCTCCAGGATTGAAACAATTCAGAACAAATTCATATGCTTCCTCTATAGGAAAAAGTATAACCAGTACCCGGATTATGATTCCTATAACTTTATAAGGCGGGAATTTAATATTATGCGTCTTGATACTAGGAGAAAAATCTATAATGCACTCTTTTTAGTGAGGTTACTCAACGAGCACGTCAAGTCTGACATTTTATTATCAAGAATAAACTTTTATATTCCAACCAGACTCCGTCCCCGAAACATAGTTTTCAGAACTATAAGTAGGAGGGTTGCAAGAGAAAATTCCCCCCTAGTACGAATGTGTAATATCTTGAACGATATATGTGTTGCTCATAGAGAGTTGAATATATTCAATGAGCAAGAAAATGCTATTCGGAAAAACATATTTGAAATTTTTTCAAAGTAAATAATTAATTTTCAATAATTTATTAATTTTTTGCATTTTAATCGCAAGAAAATGTTATCCTGGTAATTTTTTGTCCTTCGCATCGTGATTGCGGACGCTTTTATAACTTTGTATCACGTAATATTAATTATTGGTTTTCTCTTCCTCTGCTTTGCTGTCTAGGTTTCTAATTTGGAATATTCTGTAATCTGATCTCTTATATTAGTTACCTCTTTAGTTATTGCTCATTCTTTGTTTTGTTTTTTCTATGCTATACTGAATGTTGTATGAGTTCGTTACATAGGCATAAGGCATTACAGATGTAATTGTAAACTTAGGACTTGTCCTGTATTACATCTCTTCATAAATAAATAAATAAATAAATAAATAAATATTTAACTTGAATGGATAATTGATATAAAAAAACAGGGAAAGAATACTACCTAACTGTTCAATGCGTTGTTAAACAAAAGCAAATTCAAACAATGAATCAGTGTTGTCAACTGTATTTAGGTATCCTGCCATTTTGTTGAAATAGTTTGCGAAATGTTATATTATTGCTAAAAATTGATGTAATACAATAAAATCTACGCAAAATGTCCTATTAATGCAGATAAGATAGTAATAAGTGGGTAATTTTTCTCTGATATAGGTATGCTACTATGCAACTGAGATGCCTTATGCAACCAACAATATGTTTGTATTGTGTGTGCATGGTGAGGTTGGTAGTAGAGAACGAGACGGAACATTCAGGCTATTCGGAGTTGTTCGGAACCTGTTCGTAACGAACGGTGAACAATGCTAGCTCGCTACATCAGCTGATTCTTCTCTCTTGCACCCATAACCTAACCTCAGTTTCAAGAATTTTTCAACTCTTTCTTCATATGGTTGAAAGAAATAATGAATTCTTGCTATTCTTATTTGTACAGAACCGATTGAAACATTGAAACTAAGTATGGAAACTTAAGTCATGTAAGAAGGTGTCTGTTAAATTTGCGTGAATTTCACAAACGGTTGTATTCTGCTTTTAGTAAAACCCAGAAATGATTCCTCTGATGTCACTTCTCCTATTTGAATTCGACAAGACGATGGGATGTCAGAATTTCACGCCACCTTACTGTCATTATTACTCTTATTACTCGATTCATCAGAATAATGTGTGTCATTAAATGTTGAAAATCGAGTTAGCAATGCATGAATGACTCCATAGTTGTAGATAATAGTATATTATTCAACAAGCATATAATGAGGGCTATTATTTACGATGGTTAATTTTATGTCACGAGCGTAGCATGATCTCAAAGTTGTGAGAAAATCTTTCAATTATACACAGATTGAAATTATCATTTTCTGTGAAATGCAGTGAGAAACCTCTCATGAATAACATGTGAAACCGAGCAATAATGATTCAAGATACTCTACTTAAGAATTCAAACTCGAAAATTACCACAATGACTACTAAACTTTGGATGATCAAATATTGAATTCTTAATAATTATAATTTTCAATGATATGAATGACTATGTTTTTTCATCTTTGAACTATACCACTCCACTTTGATTTATCGTGGACTTCTTCCAAAGATTAAAAAAAAACTATATTTGAGTGTGAAACTCAGACATGTGTTTACACAATATGAAACCTCTATGTGCCGTCATAACATTCCCGAAATATGTAGATATTCATGTAGTTCTGTACATAAAATGCATTGAATGTAAGAGGTTAATGTCGACTGGTTTTCATCAATTGCATTTCCAAACCTATGAGGTTATTTTGACCCTGACTTTGTTACTTTATTAAATATTATTTAACTGTTCAGTGATGAAATTTACCTATCTGGTTCCAGGAGCCTCACATTGAAAAACACTAACTTTTCTGCGAATGTTCAAAGATAATTAAAATGAAGACCTTCGACTCTTTTCATACATCCGTTCTATACTTTTCAATTATTTTATTTTTAATTCCATCACTCCTGTCAAACAATTATTTTGAATATCTTATACCCTTCACCAAAAGAAATCAACATTAGTCACATGGTGCAATGTGGAGTAATTTGAATATTGACCAAATAGCGGGCGATTTCTTTTCTGACTATTGATTTCGACATTTTCATACATTTTTCTGGATTACCGACAATTGGACGTGGTCAATTGGACGCACGAAAATTGGACGCGGATAATTGGACGCGGCGACAATTGGACGCGGCGACAATAGGACGCGGCGACAATTGGACGCGGCGACAATTGGACGCGACGAAAATTGGACGCGGCGACAATTGAGCGCATGCGAAAATAAAAATAATTTTATAATTCCAATGAAATTTATTGCATGGAATATGCAGGGCTCATATCTATAATATAACAAATACCTAACCTAACCTAACTAACCTAAAATATTGTACTATATTCGTATCGTAAATTCATATTACGATATGAGATAGGAAAATAATTGTCAAACGAGGCCATAAGTATTTGTTATAATTATGGATATAAGCCCATCAGTATTTCATATTTTATACAATGAATTTCATTGGAATTATAAAATTATTTTTATTTACGCATGCGTCCAATTGTCGCCGCGTCGAATTGTCGCCGCGTCTAATTGTCGCCGCGTCTAATTGTCGCCGCGTCCAATTGTCGCCGCGACACCCATTTTTCTCATTCTCATAACTTACCTTTCACATTGTAGGAAATAGTACTATTCATCTTGTATTTATCTTTTTCTTTCACTTCCGCTTCTGACTGACTAAGAGCTAGAGCCAACTGGAATTCTTCTTCTTCAGCAAGTTCAGCGTCGGTTTTCTTTGGTGGTTCCTACAAAAAATAACAAGAACATTCAAGAAACAAAAATGAAAATGATTGTGAATAATTTGAACGTCATAGGAATATTATTGATTTAATTGATATTATTCTTCATCATCTACCTGGTTTTGCTGTGCTAGAGGACTTTTCAAATACTCTGCCGGTAATTCAGATTCTTGCTTCAATAAGGCTGCTTTTGATGCTGCTGATGGCTTGCTAGCTTCATCAAAACATGAATCACACACTCTAACCTGAAAAATCGAATTGTATCCCATGAGTAAATGCACATAACAGGTTTGAAAGTTTGATGAAATTTTATTCATTATATTCATCAAACCTCAAAGTATTTCAATGAGCCCTAATATTCTCGAACTCGTCAGGTCACGGAAGAGCTTGAGGTCTATGTAAATGTCCGCATATTTTGGTGGATAACCCTAAAGACTATGGACTCTTTTTTCAAGAACAAAAGCAGTGACGTGTCCTATGTGAACGAATACAAAAACTCAAGATAAAAAGACGAGGGCGCTCCCGGAAATCAAGAGAAGAGAATGGTAACAAAGTCAGACATGCCATACGGCAAGCTCTGTTTGCAGGACACAAAAATAAATTAAGCATAGATTATGGTGGCTGTGTAAATAGGAAGGCCACAGTAAGGAAGAAGATGACTCAGGCATGGGTTTTTGTGGAACTTTACGCGCAACTTTCATATTAAGAGAGAAGTATATAAAGGGTGAGTCAGAATGAGATCGACAATCTTCATATTAGGATTCATTACCTCATTTTGAGTTCAATAGTTTCTGTCAATAAATGTCCCAAACCTCTGAGATACAGGGTGTTAAGAGTACAAAAATAAGGTTAAATTTTTTCGTATTTTTGACACCTTGCAACTCAGAGAATATGTATTTTAGGGAATACGCTGAAAGGAACTCGCCACCAAAATATTAAGCTTGTCTTCTGTCTCACCGAGTATACCGTAAAAAGAAGCCAAGTAATGCGATGGCAGGAATGCACTTCAGGTAAAAAAATACAATCCCATTTTGTAATACATGATTGAATATATTTTCAAGGCAAATAAAATAGAGAAGGTTAAACTATCAGATACTGCTACATGTGTCCTGTTACCGTTAGACTCGAGACATGTATATTTGACGTTCAATTCAAATTGACAATAAAATTATTGTGGAGCCGACTTTCGAGTTTCTCTCTTTCTTCACTGGTGTGTCATGTTATATAATTATACAATCATATAATATAGGTACTTATCGTGAATCACTACATTGAAATATGTTTCAAACTTGTCACGCGTTTCCACAAGAGGCGAGATAGATTCCAGGAGTTGAATTCGCATTTTGATTCAACCTTTTTATGATTCATTTCTTAATTAGTTTAGCCTTTGCTGGATATTTGTCTGTTCTGATCGATTTCACATGTGTATACCGTTGTTTGGAGGTAGGATAATGCAGAATATTATCCTTGATTACCGATCTCTACCCTTCGCTATTCTACAAAAAGTAGTTCACCTTGTCGCTCATAGATACCGCCACCTACTGAATGGAATTTCTGGCATCATTGCTCCCAGACAAGTTTAGGTAGTATGAAAATCTGCAGTGAAATCAACAATTATGAAACTCATTGTATAAAACACCTTGGCTAAGGTTTGATAATAATCTGAAGTGGGTTAATCATGTAGATTATGTTTTGAAGAAAACATTTAGATTCTCATTTCTAAATTCAAACGTTTGAAATATGTAGTAAGCATTATCAGTTTGAAAATGATATATTATGCTTTATTTCAGTCTCAATTAGTTTATGGGATTTTAGGATGGGAAGGAGCAAAGCAAACATATTTGAAAAAATGGGAAGTTATTATTCAAAAACGAATTTCGAAAATTATTATTGGAAAAGATTATTCATTTCCATTTGAACTTCCCAAAATATGGATTTAAATCTGCTTTATATTCATTCTTTATCAACTTACACGTTCAGAAACAGAAATGATATTAAATTGGAAAAAAATACTTACGATATGAGAATCAAATAAATCAATTGGACAAAAAACATTTGTTTCCTTATTTGTATGATGAAATTCCGCGTGATATTGAAAAAGTCGAATCTTTTTATTACCACCAAAATGAATATTAGTCTCTTCAAGGTGTTTATTTGCTTCTCTGATTAATATCTGATCCAGAGATGCCACTACGAAATTATTTGTAACAGTACTGAATTCAATGATTGAACGGAAAACAATACATTTTTATTCATCAATTACTTCTGTCCCAAATTAATCAATCGATCTTATAATCATAATTTTCATTTTATTCACCCCACGACCAGTTATACTTCCTAAGGTGTACTTTGCTTATTCAATACCTATATGTACACTTTTAATTTATATTTTGTGAACATTTTGAATCAACTTTATTACTATTATTGTTAGTGTGAATAACAAACGGTAGAGTGCCTCGAATATCTCATTTCACGTCATATTGAGAGTGTGGACACGCTTGTCACCACTGACAAGTACGAATTGTCATAATTCTCAGATTTGGAACGTCAGTTCTGAAGATTGAATAGACGTCTCTGCGAAAATCCTTCGAATATATTTTGTTCAGTAACGAATTTCAGAAATTCTAGGAATGATGGTTAACAAAGACGAGACGAAATTTCAAGTGTTCATTGAAGCTTCAAATTCCAATATTGGCATCAAAATATCAGCTTTTCAAAAAATCTCGGGCCGTTTTCTGTTTGTTGAAATTTCTTCTTTCTGATAATGTAAGAAAATATATACATTACTATGGTAAATATTCTCAGAAAATGCAAAGAAAACTCGAATCCCAATGTCTTTTTAATCACTATCTACAATTTTGAGTAATTTTGTAAAATTTTCACTTTAATTACTTGAAAAACGTAAGATTCTATGTTATATTGAGAAACAATAGAATTACAAATCCATAAATCATAAAGATTGTAAGAAACATGGGAAAATAGTTGTTCTAAATATCAAAGATAGGATTTAAAGGTGGGATTTCAATAAAAAAAAATGTGATTGCTGCAATTTTCGTTAGTCAAAAAGATAATTAATTAAATTCTAATTACATTTATGTCCTAGAAAATTTCATATTATATGAATAGAAATGTAAATCGTACTATTGAATTTAGATACTTTATACTGATTATTATCATTCAAAATAATATTTTTAAATGCATTTATCTTCTTATTTATAAATCTTATCTTTAAGCCTTATCACTTATTCATTATCTTTTGTCTCATTGGTGGTATTCCTTCATCGTTAGATTTGACAAACCTTCTCGATTCTAGTAGATCTATGAAATCTTCAAGACCATCACCGTTTTCGTATCCAATATGATTGTTAGTCTGAATCGGTCCTTTATCCACAATTTCATCTGAATCACTAACTTCCTTTAAATCCCATCTTTAATATGTAGAACAACTATTTTCGCATGTTCCTTGAAATCTGTATTTAATTAAATTGTAAATTTCACTAAATAGTTCAAAATTGTACACAGTGATAAAAAAAAATCGGATTCGAGTTTTTCCTTTTCTTTGCATTTCTGAGAACATTTACTATAGTAATGTATATATTTTTTTACATTATCAAAAAGAAGAGATTTCAACGAACAAAAAACGCCCCTAGTTTTTTTAAAAAGCTGATATTTTGACGCGAGAATTTTCGATTGAAAATTAGGGTGTTTTTTCGATATTAAGTAAAAATAAGGTGAAAAAATAAATATTCCGGATCAAAAAAATTACGGTGTCTTTAGGACATGAAAAGGTGAGTTTTCACCAAATTTCGTGAAAAAAAAATTTTGTTTCTGCATAAGATAAAAATAAAAAAACCAAAAACTTGATTATTTGAATTTTTCACATAAATTTTGAGGTTATGTGAAAAAAGTGTGATTACAAAAGTTGTAGATCTCTTCATTACCCACAACTATGTCATTTAATATTTCTCCATAGGACTTGTGGTTTTGCCGGAAATCGAGATACACCGTTTTTTACCCTTAAAACTCACCCCCTTCCACTTCCCGACCTCAGATCGCCCGTAAATTGTTTTTCCTTTCATTTTTGTTATATTCTCGTCCTTTCTCAACGGGTTTCATCCTACTATTATTTTTTTTTGTTTCAAAAATTATCGACCCTGGTCTATCATATGTATGTGTAGGTATTTATGAGATGTTGAACTATTTAACTGTATGTTTGTGACTTCTCAGAAGCGTAAAATAACTCAGTAGAAATGAACAAATTATCTATCTATCTCACCTCTTTCTCGATGCCGTACTTGGGCAACGTCGACGTCTTCGAGGTGCACTGACTACAAAACACCTGCCCGCACGCCCGGCAGTGGTGCTTGCGCTGCATGAGCGAGAACTGGACGCGGCACCGGTGGCATACGTCGCCGTCCGCCCATTCAGGGGCCGTGTCAGCTGCGAACATGGCGTCCGACTCGCGCAGCACCGGGAACTTGTAGCCCTCGGCTTTCATGGCCGCCATCATATCCTTTAATAATAATAATTACATGTATCGAACCTTCACACTAAAAATATAAAGAAAAATTCATACAGAGCAAACATTTGTGTAGAAATATAGCCTCTGGATGCTTCGCTGTTAGAACTATTGCTGCAGAATTAGGGTTTGTGTCAGGTAGAGCTGCATACTTTGCCCTCATCGAATCTCATTTGAGATATGGAATTGCATTCTGGGGAGTCTGCAGTGATCAGCTATTCCAGAGGAGTTTTGTCTCACAAAAACGGGCCCTAAGATATATGTGTGGAGCGAAGTCAAAGGACTCATGTAGACATTTATTCAAGAATTGCGGCATCCTGACAGTAGTTGGCTTATACATCATGGTAACAACGGCTCTGATACAATAAAAACATAGCTTCTTTAGAGCTTGTTTCATGACATTACAACACAAGACAGAATGGACAAGTTAAATTAGTAAGACCCCGTACCACTATGATCAAAGACTCCATTATTTCTAATGGAATAAAGATATTCAATCATTAACCAAATCATATCAAAGAAATTCCGTGTAACAAAAAACTCTGTCCAAGGTGAAAATATTGCTCGTTCAGACTCCACTATACAACCTCGAGGAATATTTTTCACAGAGACTCTAAAATGAATGAATGAATGAATATGAATTCCTTTCTTTCTTAATTAGTTCTTGAAAGGATTGTTTTATACAACATATACTCTATAAATATTTGACTATGGCTTTATAGGAGCTCTCAAATGTGATAGTTTTATTATAATACTTTATCAAGAGAGAAGAACTCAAAGTCGTCTCCACAATTTTTAATGTATAAGAAGGCAGTCAATCCTGCTTCAATAAGGTTGAAAGTTGATACATGTTTCGGCCATTCAAATGGCCATCTTCATCGTCTCCACAATTTTTAATGTATAAGAAGGCAGTCAATCTTGCTTCAATAAGGTTGAAAGTTGATACATGTTTCGGCCATTCAAATGGCCATCTTCAGTCAAATCGTCTCCACAATTTTCAATGTATAAGAAGGCAGTCAATCTTGCTTCAATAAGGTTGAAAGTTGATACATGTTTCGGCCATTCAAATGGCCATCTTCAGTCAAAATAGCAGGCGAAAATTACTTCACGATGTTTTGAAGTAATTTCCACATACACTTTGCTATTTTGACTGAAGATGGTCATTTGAATGGCCGAAACATGTATCAACTTTTAACCTTATTGAAGCAGGATTTACTGCCTTCTTATACATTAAAAATGGTGGAGACGACTTTGAGTTTTTCTCTCTTGATCATTCCACTCCACTTTGAATATGGACTACTACAGAAGATAATATTTTATGTTTTATTATTGTCTTTGTTGTTTTTTTAGAGATCAAAATTTTTTGATTATTCAAAAGAACGTGAGAAAAATGTCTGCAAACGCTCTTCCACGGCCAGGACGTTTAGTATGTTTTTCATGGCACTTCCCTTCACCACTCTACAAGAATTTGCGACTTCACGAATTATTATTTCCACTACTTTTCGTTTGTTTTCTGAACTAATGGGGAAGTTTCCTACTGTGCGCATATGGCACAAAAGAGTTGATAATAGGAAATTCAATTAATGTAATTAAAAATTAAATGCCTTTCAGAGATCAATAGATGACTCACCAGTACCATCTGAACTCGCCGTTGCTGGGTACCCAGGTCGATCTTTCTGCTTGATAAGGGCCACTCAATTATGCAATATAGCGTGGGCCTTATATGCGCGCGCGTCTTATCACTTCTGCTTTTACAATTTGAGTGAATTCAAAAATGTCTTCTCTCCGCGTTCTCACAAAACCGCTCATGCGCGTGTCAATCGAAATGAAACCTGAAAGGCTCGATATTTGATGTGTACCCAGTGGCACAAATTCTAGATTTATGTGAATGAAACTAATATTAAAATAACCAAAATGAAATATTGAACGATTGAATGGATCATAATGTTATCATTATGATGATTGCGATTTTTTTCTACGTGAAGTTCACATAAAATTGTATGCAGGTTGTTATCGAAAGAAAAGACATTCAAATTGAATATCGAATGTCACTTTCAAAAAAGTAGTTTATTGTGTCACAAGGGCAGGAGCGAAGCCAATGGCCAAAAGTGTACTAAAGTAAAGTAATATCTTTCAGAGCAAAATATTGACAAGCTTGAGATAAAATCCCATAATCTGATTGATTTCACGAAGCCAAACAATCATCAAGTCCTAAAATAAGTCTAAACCATATTGATCATCAATAATTATTATAGTTAATCTGCGTTATAGGCGAAAAGGAGGAACTAGCCTTCAAGGCCAACTAGTGACAAAAGTGCAAAGGTGTAAAAGTAGCTTGAATGAACAAGCCATAGCTTCTTAAACACCTGGAAATCTCAATGCGCCCCATATTTCGTATTCATAATAAAATTTGTTTTATTCCATACCTTCAATGCACCATGTTTGGGATTCTTCCTGAATGCAAAATTCCACGCTTGAATTAGTTCCAATAATTTAGAGCGAACATTATCGTGTGGTGTTGTCTTAGCTAATTCATGAAGAAAATCACAGAAGACCTTGCTAGTCAGCTCTTCATGAACGACAGAACCTGAAATATCAAGACAGTATGAAATCCACATCAATGAAAATTTAGATTGAAGTTATTACCGCAATTTTTCACAATGCTTTCAACAACCAGAAGTGCATACAGAGCACTATATGGGTTTGGAGACGTGAGCTTCTTTTTCAAAGCATTCAAAGCATATTTTGGCCTGAAATGATAATATGGTAGCATTAAAAGGCACTTAAATGAAGAACTTATGTATATCAACAAAACTTTTTTCTTCCAGAGGATTACTTTGTGATGATGAAGGGGAAGTCATTACGGATATTCAAACAGCTTATACACTGTTCATTATTGAAAATAGAACAAAACTGTGAATACAAAAATTGTATTGAAATATGATGGATTTCCATAACGAAATATATTGTTAGAAATCTCGATGTTGTAAATTGTTGTTTGTATTTCGTGTATAAAATTCGCGGTCAAAAATTAACACTTTCATGTGCCATTAAAGAAACACTAATTTTACGCACTTAATACAAAAATAACAATTTTATTCAAAAATGTAATCATGGGCACGCCTCTGGAATGATTGAATCAACTCCAATATGTACAAAATATACCACAATGAAACAAAAACAGACTGTGAAAATTTATTTGGATAGCATTGTTCGAATATTTTGAGTATCTTATGGTAACTGATTGAATTCTCCCATACTGACAACCAGATAATTCGATTAAAGTATTATTCGACATTAAATAATGAATTCGAAATGAGTTGCAGGTACCTGTAATGTTTCTGATTCATTGCACTCTAGCTATAACTTTTTCAAAATGTCAGTTCTTTCTTTATTGACCATTAGTAATCAATCACGGATAGATAAACACTGAGTGCATAATTTCAGTCCAGTGAAAAACGATATCAAACATCAAATCACAATGCTAACCTTGAATATTTTCCCCATATTTTCGCGGCCTAGTAATGATCATTTCATCAGAAATCCCTATGGGCTACTTGGCAAAAAACGAGTACCATGTAGATATTTCCATCTCCAAGACAAAATACATGTAGTTTGTTTCAGTTTTCATCTGGCAAACTTCAATAGGTCACAGTACCTACTCATTGAAATGAGGAAAAGAAGTCATATGAGCATAGACCCGAAAAATTTGGTTCTGCGATGAAGGGTTTCAAAGTTTGAAAATGAAAAATGTTTCAAGGGTTTTGAAGTTTGAAAATGATAAATGTTTTATATCACAGTAGTGCACCTATGCAGGCCTCATCCCAATCGAACCCTATCTCACATAATATGCTTTATTCCTAACTGGAGTATCTGCCTATGCCATCTACAAAACGTCGAAAAGCGTCAAAAAATGTGAAAAAAGACATTTATTGATATGTGAACAGATTCACCTTGTTCGGTCCAGTGGTGTCCCGAAAGAAAACGCAGTGATAACTTTTATAAAAAATCATAGCACGCCACTGCTTCCTGAACATTTAACCAAATGCAGTATTTTTTCCCTCCAAATTATTTTCGTATCTCGATAAGTTCTCGAAAAAAAAATACATTATATTTGATGCTCTTCTTGATAATGAATGAAAAAACTGGCGGAATTTCAGCTTGTGACAACCTGTATACAGGGTGATTTTTTTACAGGCATCTTTCAAACGAAGAACTACACCTCTCATATATTATATTGAATATTGAATTTAATACCATATTATTATCATTATATTATGTATGATTATGACTGAGACGAGGACTGAGATGAACGAGTTCATGGAGTATACAGATCTACCGATCGCGTGAAGATACATCTAATCAAGGGTAGTCTTATGGGGGATGGGTGATAACCTCCTAGACAGACAAAAAGGCATAAATTAACGAATACCTACCCACCAAGAAATAACTTGTGACTGTACTATAACTATAGCAGTAGGAGTACAGCTCACTGTTATGAATTGTGTGGTTGAATCTCGGCAAGTCAGTCAGATGTTCTACCAAAATAACAGGCAAAAATACAAAGCCATAAATATTTGGTTCCAAACGAATTACATCAGCCATCAGCCTAGCGTCTAGCGACACCGATTCCATTTTAGCTAATGTTGACCGCTCGGTGACCGTATGATTATGCTTTGTACAGGGTGGCCAACTAAGAATTCAGAGTTCGATACCTCTGTTGTCTTGAGAGATACAAAAAAAAGTTTCGCATTCAAATTGAAGTGATAACCGAGCTTCACATTTCAAAATTTCTTTGAAATACACAGGGTGTTCCGTAAGGTCACAGCACATCAAAGCTATGTTTTTTCATTGGAACACCCTATATTTTATTTCATTTTTGAATTCTCCCTGAAGATCTGATTTCAACGACTTACTTAGGGTCTAGCAGTGAAAGTTACTGACATATAGGGTGTGCAAAATCGAGATTTTCCCAGTTCAGGATTTTTTTCTGTCGAAACTGTTCATTATTCGTCAAAACGGTTTACATGTCCCTATCTCAACTTTTCACTCACTATCAATTGGTGTTCAATTGAAATTGATACAAGGTGACGCAACAAGTACAATGGCCAAGTTAGCAACGCACATGCCTACAGTCACTACCAAGCATTTGTGCTGAGGGGCCTAGACTTTGAGCCTGAGCCCTCTGAGATCTTACAAGAACTCGAAGAAGAACATAGAATCTACAGGCTCAATACGAGGTTTAGGCCCCTCTAACTGGTCGTCGTTTTACCCAATTATTACTCTCCAGCTCCTGAATAATAAGGTGAAAGCTGGTGGCCGTGAGCGTAGAGTCGCTGGCTGTTGCCCAGGCGGTCCGGGTTCGATCCCCGGCGCGAGCACTGAATTAATTTTCGGTAGTTTCGTTGGGCGGGAGGAGATAGGTGGCCAACCCAACATTCTTGGTACCTAGATATCAATCCTTTGGACTGTCCACGGTTACCAGCCGAGTAGTGCTTCGGATGACACTTAAAAAGCTAAGGTCCCCGTCTTCTTAACTCACACAAGTCTCTGACTTTCGAGGGTTGCTTTGCAACTAAGCTGGCGGTTAAAAACACTTTTAAAAACACTTTAAAAGCAATACTGTCTGATAGGATTACTTGGGAGCTGAGGAGAAATAATCGGGAAGTCATCCAGTGTAAACGCTGCCAGTTGTGGGGTCATGCCACCAGCAACTGCAACAGGGAATACGAATGTCTGAAGTGTGCTGGTGGGCACCCCACGGCCGACTGTCATTTACCAAAACAAGAACCAGCTAAATGCGTGAAATGTGGTGAAGCTCACCCGTCCAACCACAGTTGAGCGAGAGCTACTTAAGAAAACAGTCGGACCCCGTCCCCGCACAAATGCGTGGGAAAGGAGACGACAAGAACGCGAGGCTAGGCAGCCCGAATAACGGCACCTGGAGGATACCCAGGAGAGCAAGCAAGAGCCAGACCACCCCCCGAGTGTGCAGAGAGGACCAGGTGTGAGCCAGGAGCATCGCCTTGGAGGTCGACCTCCTCGAACAGAACGTTAATCTCTCTGAGGTATTTAGGTGTGTGAGGGATATGAACATCGCCATCGGTGACGAGACAAACCCTTGGGAGATTGTTCAAATGTTTACCAGGTTCTCCAAGACAATCGGTAATTATATTAATGGTAGAATCCGGCCTTAGGGTATGTAATATTAAAATTAACGGCATTAGGGATAAAATGCCGTCTCTTGTTAATTCCATATCGCCGCAGATTGAACATTATACATTTGTCCGAGACCAAACACCGTCATGATCATGGCTTTACCACGATCAGGGTCGATCGGCCTAATGCAGATAGGTGGGGAGGGATAGCCATACTAATAATGAACAACATTCCCCACTCTGTGGTCCCACCACGGCAAAGCTCTATCGAGCACGAAGGGGTGAGGCTACAGAGTGGCGACATTATTTTTTCAGCGTACAACAGATTCACGACTGAGCAAGATCTGGAGGCTCTAAGGTGATAATCGGCAGCGATTTCAACGCGAGACATGTGGACTGGGAGAACCATGTCAACAATCAAAACGGGAGTAGGATGAGGGTGTACATACAGACCGCCAATGTCAACCAATATACCGGTCGTGCATAAAATGTTGTATATATTTCGGGCGTAACTTGCTTTAATGGACCTAGACGTGTTAATACACTCTGCGGACCATAAAAGCCTACTTTACGCCCTTGATACAAATACAAGATGAGTCAAAAATGTGTACTGAGTTTTCTGGAGGTGATAAAACATTGAAGAATAAATAGAGTTTGATAAATAAACTAATGGCCCAAAATGTGTATCCTCGTGTGTATCCTTCCAAAGTTGATAAAATTAAAATAATTTTTCTGCATAACTATAAAAGCCACCAAATTGAAATTTCCTGTATGAATGTATGTTGATAAAATACATTTTTCTGATACACTTCTACATTTCTGCTATAGCTATATGTTTTTAGAGGGTGGGTCATGATATTCCCTGAATTATTTTTGGTTAAAAAACAGCATTTGATAAAGGGAAGGAAATTACATGAAAAAGGTACTCTTATCAAAATACGGATAATTCAACCGTTTTCAGCAGATTAATTACCATTAATGACCAATTTTGTTATCAATTTTGACGTTTATGACATCCACATTGTTATTGATATTTCTTCATTTGGTTCCTTATATTATAATTGCGATTTTCAACTGAGATTTTAAGAAATGCCAGGTTATTTGTGAAGCAGAGATGTTTCCCGCTTGACTCACCCTGTATAACTATTATAATCTTAATATACATGCAAAGAATTCATATAATTAATGCGAATTCTCAATGTGTTTCTTTATATTAGTTTCCCATTTTTTATGTTCATAATATATATATTTTTTTGTATCTCTGGGAACGCATGAAACAAAATTCTTATAATGTTCCAAGACCATCGCTCATATCTAGGGAGGATAGGAAGAGGAGGTAAGTATTGGATTTTTTTTAGCTTTTGGAGGTAATGAGGAATTGGCAAAGAATTCCAAAGCTTAGCCGTTCTATAGACAAACAAGTTTAGGTAAAGTGTTGTTGGACATATTTCAAGGAAGACAATGAAAGGATGTGCTAACTGGGATTGTCCAGTTCATCTGACTAGTATTGCCGAGAGTATTGCTATAGTGATGCATGATGATAGTGAAAGTATTTATAAAAAAAGGGAAAAGTGCCGACTTTTCTATGGTGTTCTAATGAGGTCAATGAGTGTGGCATCACCCACCAGGCAAATGGCTGTTCTCTGGATGGAATCTAAGAACATCAGCGTATGTTTGGGTGCTGAACCCCATATGAGAGAATAGTATTCTAAAACAGGCCCTATCTGTGCTTTCAAAATCATGGAAAGCTGTTGAGTAGTGAAGTAGATTTTTGCATGACATAAAAATCCAAGTTTTTGTGTCAGCTTTCACATTGAATCAGACATGATTTTTTCATGAAAGAGTATTGCTGATGGAAATACCGACCAGAGAATAAATAGTGGATTTGGTAGGAATGGTGGACACTGTTATGTCAGGCATACTGTGTCCAGCTTTCTAAAGAAAATTCTGATATCAGTTTTGGCGGCGTTGAATTCAACTAGCTTGCTGGCTTGGAGGCAGTAATTTCAGAAAGATCTTCATTGGCAGCGTTGACCTGCCTTCGTCGTAAGTTCATAACTCATAACCTCCAAATGTTCAAAAAACTTCCAATACCTAACTACTCTCCCAATCCTCTCTAGGTAAGCACAATGTTCTTCAGACATTATAGGATAGGAATTTCCTTTCATGCCCTCCAAAAGATAAATAAAAGAACACAGTATGGAGAGCAAAGTTGTGGATAGGGCAAATGGTTACTCCCAACAGATCATTAATATGCAGTAGGAACAATGTTGGTACCAAAACTGATCCTTGAAGAACGCCAGAATTGATAGCAATGGTATCAGACAATACTCTTTCCACCACCACATGGAGCAATCTGTCTGAAAGGAAACTCAATAAAAGCTGGTGTAGATGGGGTGGTGATCTATATGATGGTAGTTTATGGAGAAGTCCATGGTGCCAAACATGGTCACATGCCTTTGATATATCCAAATTTAATGAAGCTCTCCATGTATGGGTTATGTAGTCAAGTAAATCTCCAGTTGATCTCTGGATATTGTCTATCACTAATGATTCCTGAGCTTTCCAGATATTTGATGAGCTCAATGTTGATGGCTTCTTGGACATAACTGATAATAGTCCAATAGGCCTGTAGTTGTTGGGTAGGTTTTTGTTCTCTTTTTTGGGGATTGGTTGGACTCTAGCTATTTTAAATATTGGACTTGTAAGAGATGGTGAATAACTTGCAGAGAATCAGTGTCAATTCTGGTGCACACGTTTTGAGAGTAATGGGTGAAATTCCAACAGGACCATCAGCCTTATTCTTTTTGAGACCAAGCAGAATGGAAGATTATTCAAGTTACTAGGTTTTTACTCTGCTATCACTTTAATTATCATTATTTGATTAATGCTTTTGTGACCAGATGGTTATTTTTCAATCATGAAAGGAAAGAAAAAGCTGAATAGAGATCAGACATCTGGAAAAATCCTCAAGGTCTCAGTCAGACAGGCTACTAGGATCATTAATCATATTTGTCGACCAAAGATCAAAGGCATGTCAGCATGAGTAAAAATGAACTTCATACACCAATAGGAGTCCAAGTGAGAGTCCTAACAGGGCACTGTTGGTTGAAAGGAAATCTTAGGAAGGGTGGCTTAGAAGAGGAAGATGAATGCCATACTTATGGAAAGGGTCACCTTACAGAACCCAAGGGCAATAAACCTAGAAGCACACTAAATAAAGGAGGAGGGGCTACCTCTTGGGCTACCCTACCTAAAACTAACTCATATCCTGAAGTTTCTGAGGGAGAGAAATATAGCTCACATAAAAATGGAGAGTTATAGTTATAATAAATTTAAGAATGGCTGTCAATTTAAGAAAGTATTTAGTTTAGCCTACTGTCCATTCCAGAATGTGGCATACTGTAGTTCATGGAAGTTTGAGCCTTCAGAAGGCTAAAAAATCATATTACACAAAAAATATATCTGGGAATATACTTACTGGACATCATCTTGCCTGATCAAATCACATATCTGTAATGTGGAAACCCAATCTGGATCCATCAACAAATGACTGGTAGCTTTATCTAGAAATGATTATATTTTTTCACCACCTTATAACAATTTTATGCAATTATGAACACCATTGAACACTTACCTAGCAGTTTGTCAAAATTTCCAGTGCTTCGGAATATCGACATGATTGTATTATTTTATTGTAGAATACAACAAATGACAAAACTAATATGGATACTTTTTTATCTTTTTGGATAAATAAATTGTGGGTGAATCACTAGAAAAACACGACAATGAAAACAGATGATTTTGACATTTATTTTGACACTAACTGAGACAACTTTTGACAAACAATTTTTATGATTTGTTTGTGTGTCATGATATCACTTACGTTCCGTGATCTGTGCCACTGTGGTTCAATGGCAGGATCGGAAGTGTCAGAAGATTGACGTCAGCAGAAGTGTCTAATCAGTAATCAGTCCGGTTGCTTTCCAACAATGCAGAGAAAGATACCATAATTTAATCAGTGGCCACTTTTTGACTAATAACAGTTCATTTTTTATTGAAAAGAAATATTCTCAGCTATATTATGAAAATGATGAAAATAAGTAGATGGTGTGGTGTTCAAGAAAGTTGAATATATAGTTGTTGCTCTGGGTTGCGTATAGCGCGATGCTCAATTCCCACCATGCCCACCTTCATGTCGACGATCACGAAGATTGCCGAAGAGCGCAACGTTGCCAGGTTATGAGAAAAATTCAGTTTTCGACGAAATCAAACCCAGGAAAGGAAAGGCCAAAATGTGCTTTCGTATTGATTTACTTGTCGAATGTCTTCCGTACAGAGCGAACTTAATAAGATCTTCTAACATTTTTTGTTGTTGTTGTGTTTTTGAGTTTTGACTCCATGTTTGATGAATTTTATTGAATCTTTTTTGAAGCCATTCTGAGGACTGTGCTTGCGAAGTGCAGTTTCTAAGGCTCGAAGGACCACTTGTGAATTATTCATGCCTCTTTGGGAAACCATTTATATAATTTATTCAATACTCTGACAATTCAATCCTTATTTTTATCATTAACAACTGACTAACTGTCACTATCAGATATACAGAGCATATGAGAGCATCCCACGATGCCGAATCCCACGATGTCCAATTCCTACGATGCTCAAAAACACAAGATTCCCACCACGCCCACTTTTCTTCTAGAGTTCAACAAGTTCAACACTCAGGCTAAACAAAAACCTGACATATGAAGCTGAAAAGACTGTAGAAATGCTTTCATCAGCAACTGCCCAATCCCCTGATGAGATTATCGACATGCTGGATAATGAATATGGACGTCGAGAACTGATAATTGATGAATTGTTAGTAAAAATACGACGTCACTTACCTAACGCCGAGAGCTTAGAGCCTTTCATGGATTTCAGCAGTTCAGTTGGAAATATTGCAACATTTTCAAAGAATAGTGGCACAAGTTTCCTATCTAACAATCACACTCCAAGAGAGAAGAATATGGAAGAGAAACAAAGTTGCAGCCCACTCAACATCCAAAGTAAAACATGCAAGATCAGCAAAGATCGAAAACATGCATTGAAAAAATTGCAGACAGTTCAAATCTCTAGATGTACAACAACGCTGGTAGGTAGTCAAGAAAAACAATATATTATGTTATTGCTGTTTAAAATCACATAGTGGAAAATGTAGAAAAAAGAAAACCTGTGAAGTGAATAATTGTGACAGATTTCATCATAACTTGTTACACAAAAATATAGAAAATAGAGTCCCAAATATCTCAAGACGACCTGAGATAACTACTGTGTGTTACTGAAAATGATTCATTCAGCGTATTAGGCGTTCGGGAATCGGATGGAATGACTCGATCAGCGAGTGCGTGTTCAAGAAATGGCTCGTATGGTTGAAGGAACTAAAGGAGGCCATGCATCTGGAAATTTCTCGTTGTTATTCAGCAAATTTGAAACAAGCAAAACATATTCAGCTCTATGCATTCGTAGATGCAACTAAATATGTTTATCCATCGGCAGTATATATTCGCATGGAATTTGAAGAATGCATACAGGTCATTCTCGTAGCAACAAAAGCACGTGTTACACCACTGAAAATATTGACGATTCCGAAACTAGAATTACTTGCTGCTGTGATGGGCGTTCGATTGTGCACAGAAGTAAAGAAGCACTTGAAAATCAATATATAGCTTCGAAATTTTTTGGTCAGATTCTAGAATGGTTTTTCATTGGATCAAGATTGAAAGACATCTTCAAACTTACGTTGCTTCTAGAGTTGAAGAGATTTTAGAAACAACTGAGGTCAATGAATGGATATGGGTCCCAACCGCAGAAAACGTAACCGATGATTGTACAAGAGATAGATAGGTAGATATAGATACTTCATTAATCTCTACAGGTCATTTTCACAACATCAGACAAGACAAAAAAGGATATAAATACATTATTACTACATCTAAATAGATAAAAATTAATTAAAATTAGAAACTGTTTGAGGACAGAGTACATAAGACAGAGTTTTGAAAATCTTGAGATTTGATCTCACAGTACTCATCTAAGGAGTAGAATGCATGGTGGATCAGAAACTCTTTCAACTGTACCTTGAATGTCTTTGGACATCGAATAGATTCAGATATGCCGGAGAGTTTGACACATTAATGGCTTGTTACTTCAAAATATTCGAATGAACAAAATGGTCTGATGAGTTAAATGAACCAAAATATGTTCACGTCATGGTGCTGACGAAATGTCTCACCGAATATGTTTGCCAAGAATAAAATCTTATTACTCCTGAATCAAATTATTGAGAATAACTGAGAAAGTCGGAAGATTCTTGAATAATTTGAAATTGAGACAAAAAAACAAACAAATTGGGGCAATTAAAAAGTGACGAATTGGATTGGACCGCCTGTAGCAATGGTTGAAGGAAGTTCAAATAAGAAGTTGTTTTTCTAGAGATCTCGAAAACGTAAAAAGTAGAGTAAGCAATAAAAGAGGAATAAGGCTACATAGATTCAGAGATTGGGTAACTTATCTCTGATAAAATGTACCTCAAGTTCAACCAAAAATGGGATTGTTTCCACAAGATAGGTTGTTATATGAAAAGCCTTCTCAAGTTTTCGATACGTAAAAATGGCCGAGTACGCGCACCATCTACTTATTTCCATCATTATTATGAACATGAAAATAAACTGATACTACAGCGCATGTTGCCTGTGGCGCATTGAGTTGTCTTGCACAAAGTGGAAGAATAGTGGAACAATGGAACACACTGTATGTTCAATCTGTCGACCGGTCGGTGGACTAAACACTTCCAAAATAAATTTCATGTCTGACAGACATCTGACATATGACACAAGTTGTCAAACAGCTCAGTTGTCATATTCATATTTGTTATTTGAGGAGCCGCGCGCCGGTGGAAGAGTCCCAGCCCAGTCCCAGTTCTCGTCCCCCCAGGTCCTCCTTGGAACAATCTGAAAACATGGAGGGTGTTGGTGCGTACGGTGGTGGTAAAGCTGGGGGTTCCTTTGAACCTATTTCATTCGTACAGAGGCCTCAAGTGATTCTTCGAGGAGTATGTTGGGTACGTACTCTAAAATACATTTGAACATTTCCCAAAGTGATCACTGTATTTGAAGAAAAACCCACTTGGTTTCATCGATCTTTAGGGTAGTTTTGGGTGGGGGTGTGTCATACCCTATATTGATTATTTGAATTATCAAATGAATGGAAATGGGTCACCTAAAATCACCCCTAAAATTGATGAGAGTAGTATTGGATTATATTCAGCACCAGTTGTTTTAATTACTCCTAGAATTTTTCATATTAAAATATACCTGTAGACATGAACTAGGGTTAGACAGAAATAATGGCAGAACACTCATTCAAACTTAGCTTTTGTAGATTCATCCAAGCCCTTCCTTTCCCAATATTTTTTTCATATTTTGTTTAGGTATAATGGTGCTGGTTTAAATTTCTTTTGTATGTAGAAAGATGCACATTTTTGGATTCCTGCTCATGGCTGATCCAAATTTTTAATTTATTATTACCTAGTTCTTAGGGTTGGTACATCTATGTTCTAATAATATGGGTTCTTATTTACCTATTTACATTTTGATTTCAACTTAATAAGCAAGTTAATAATTATGTGTGATGTTTTATTCCCTGTCAAATATTTAATTTCAATATAAAGATTCCTTTCAGAGAATCAGTATTTATTAGAAATGATGTATTGTCCCTTAATTGGTGATGTTGCTAAATTCTATCAACAATGTTTCACAGGTAATAGGTCTTGTGATTAGATGAATAATTAGGCAAGAACATGAGTAGGTTAAGTTGTCAATTTTCTGAGATACACAGTGTTGAAGTTGAAAAATCTGGAAAAATCAAAATATTTTTTTAGGAATAACTAGCAAATGGCTGAATTGTTCTCACTAAACTTCAGTACCTATATAATCTCTTCAAAAAATCCTGTATGTTTGAGGATGCAGTAACCTCCACCATTCCATCCAGTGATGAGCTACAGGAGGTTTTAATTTTTTCTCTGATTTTTTCTACCCAACTGATGAAATTTAATTTTTTTTCATTTTAGATTTATCAAATTCCCTGTCCTTGTTCAATTTTATTGGAGAAAAAAGCATCATCTTCTATTGAGTTGGGATATTTGAACCTGATTTGACCCAAAATAGAAATTTGCATAGTAATTTTTACTTTATTAAAAATTCTTTTCAAAAAAATCGCAGATATCCAACTACATTGCTATATGTAGAAACAGGTTTATTTGATGTAAGGAAACTATATGTACCTATATCATAGTATACTATGGACACTAAATTCTCCAATAACTATTAACACACATACATACAATACTAGAACTACTGCCAATCTGGCCATAAGGATTCCTATATATTATTCTAAAGGCCATACACAGAAATTCATATCCTACTATGGACCAAACTTAGTGAACATTCTACTGATATATTTTAAAAATATAAAAAATAAATGCAAGTCAAAAAAATTTTTGACTGAATGTAATTTTTTCCTCAATTGCTGAAATTTGTATTCCACAATATCTGAAAATTGTCTGTTTTTATTGTCAGTTTATTGTCAACATATTCTCAGATTTCATTTGCATAATGTAGAATCAATATCAATTATCTAACTATACTTAAAATGTTTATTAGATGTAAACAAGTGTAATAATCAATTCATAGACTATGCACAATACAAGCTAGGCTTAGGTGACTGTCTATGATATGGTAATAGAAAAAAAGTTAT